AAGGGTTTATAAATCTGAAGTGGAGGAAAAGAGGCTGTCCGAAAAGCTTGGACATCCAACAGGCATGTGTGAGCATGTTAGATAGAAGGAAGTGGAGGCAATTGATTTTTATGACTAAGTGCTGTTTGTTTGAGTGTGAGCAAGGTAATATTTATGAAGGATTTCAGGAAAACTGGTTAGCTGGACCGAGTCCTGGAGATGGGAAGTACAGTGCTTGCACTCTGAGGGGTGGGAATATTGCAGTTTGGAGGGGTATCTGAACTGTAATGCTGGTAAATCTCTACCAAGACAGTGATCAAGTGAGTGAGTGTTTCTTCTTTGGATCACCCCACTTTGATGAGAAACTGCTGGTTGCAGTGAAAAAATGCAACTAATCAGTGTTGTCACACATGTAAATGTGCAATACATACTGGAAAATTAACATTGAAATGCTCTTGATTAAACTGAGAATATTTCAGTGTGTATTAAATTTTTATTATTCTTAAAAGTGATAACTTTAGATATAATTAGTGTAAATCATTGTAGAAGCAGAATACTTTCAGCAATTTTGACAATACAAAAGTCACTAAACGTAACATAACTGTAGTAATACATTACAGTAATAGAACTTGGATTATATCAGCAGTAATAATCAGGAAGCCGTGCGTGCCATAAGAGGCGACTGAAATGCCGGGAGCAAGGGGCTAGTAACCCCTTCTCCTGTATAATTTACTAACTTTAAAAAGAAAAATTTGGGTGACCCAAAAAAGAAAAACCTGTATTTTTTTTTTTGGGGGGGGGGGGTCACCCTACCTTCATGGGATACAATTGGTGTGTCGAAAAAGAAAAAAATAATCTGGAAATGTTTAAACAAGTTTCAATATAATATGGCTAATTAAGATAAAGAAATCTGAAAAATCTACAAACTTCAAGTATTTAATCCCATGGTAATAATTTTCCCCACCAATAAGTGGGGATCTTGGAGTTCAAAGGGTCATTTGAATTGTGATGCCTGCACACTTATGCAAAAATGGCTATTGAATTAGTGATGGTGAAGGAGTCTCCTCCTTTAAGTAACATTACCTTGGTGGGAAATAACTCAAGTGTTAACAAAAGTATTTTTTTTTTTTAAACACACTGGCCATCCCTCACCAAGGCAAGATGGCCCATAAAAGAAACATTCACAAGTTTTTCTTTTTACATTTAGTAATTTATATAAGATTATTATGGGGGAGCTCTAAACCTGTAGGAATTGTACAACAAATTATATAGGAGAAGGTTGCTAGCCCCTTGTTCCCGGCATTTTAGTTGCCTCTTACAACACACGTGGTTTACAGAAGAAGGATTCCGTTAAGCACATGACTTTTGTATTATGGTTGTTTCCTAATATTAATCTGTAAATTAGAACTTAGTAGTGAATACAAGAGTAACTTGCAGTCCTCTTATCTTTTTCACATTAGTAGGTCCCCCACCCAAAAGATGCTTTAAATTGAGCTATTCAAAGTTTCAGGTATGAAAGCTTCTAAATTTAGTTGACAAGTCCTTCATTTTACAGTATCTCCAAAGATGTCATTTATAAGCAGTAACCAGAAGTAGCTACAATTGAAATAGAATGTACATAACTTATTTTTATTTATAAGCGAGTGAAAATTTTCTGAGACTAGAGGATAATACAATATGGATTAACATATTTTGTAGAAGTTTGTCACCTATGTTCATGGACTGTATATGCTTCATTGTAAATCTATACTATGATGCACAGTCATAAAATGAGTTACTGTAGCTTCATATTTGATACTATAGTAATCTTAAAATGTTAAATCTACTGATAAAATTATCATGCCAGGACATCAATTTCAATCACTAGTTACTGTTTGATATAGTATGAATCAGCTCTCAGGATACAAAATGAACACCATTGATAGTTATAATAAATCAATATTGTTCACATTACAACCTGAACCACCTTCCATTCAACATAATCTTGTATGGTCTTGGTTTAAACACAGTGGGAGAGTTACTGTATTGTACTAAAGATACATTGATGCCTTAAGAAAATACTCTCCTGTAATACAGTTAAAATATTCTACTCAAACAGCAAATTATTTTTAGCATATTTTCCTGTAACTATGAAAAGCCAAATACATATACAGTGGACCCCCGGTTAACGAACTTTTTTCATTCCAGTAGTATGTTCAGGTGCCAGTAATGACCGAATTTTTTCCCATAAGGAATATTGTGAAGTAGATTAGTCCATTTCAGACCCCCAAACATACACGTACAAAGGCACTTACATAAATACACTTACATAATTGGTCGCATTTGGAGGTGATCGTTAAGCGGGGGTCCACTGTATAGTATAGTTCAGATACAGTACTTAAAACTATAAGAGATGACAAGATTTTACACACTAGTCCTAAAATTGTTTAAGAAGATCAACCTTATGGTGTTAAGCAAACAAATACACGTAACATTACAAGCAACTATACTATTTGGGTATTTTTCAAGACAGTATTGTAGTTTATAGTTTCATTTATTCTTACCGTACATGCAGTTTCAAAATCCCACATTCATAAGACTGGTAACAATTACTGTTCACCAAGCAAAACTACACAGACAATCATGTGCAGTAGCACTACTACAGCCCCAATAGGATGAATGGAAGGCTGAATGTTGCACATCTGAGGCTTACTGCAAGCTAGGTTAGTGCACCCCTACCTGGCTGAAACACCATTGGTCAACTGTGATGTCTCACTCTGTCACACTGCCTTCGCTCTGTCTTCAGGAAGGATACCAGTAATGCCAATCTTTATGCCCTTCTTTTCTTCCTCGGTCAATTTTAAGAACTCTCCAAGTGAATCCGTTTCATTAGCCATATCCAAATCATCAAAGTCCTGAAAAAAAATTTGAGAAATAAAGTAATACTGTAATGTTACACATTCCATCCATTAAATATGAATACTTACTGTACAACTGCTTCAAGGTTAATGAATAAAATGCATCTCAGAGTTGCTAAGGATTCATCATTAGTCCCAGGGTAAAAATGACAGAATAATGTAGGATAATGCTCAACTCTTGTAAAAAAAAATAAACAAAAAGCTAAGCTAAATATTACACTATGTAGTAAGTGTTTGCCAATCATTTTCCCCAACATGACTCACAAAATCGTAATGACCTGATTGCAATCGTGTCATTACGATTTCGTGAGTCATTTTGACGGCAGTGAGGGGACTTGAGCTAGAGTTCATCATGGCCATGCTAGCTGGAGATTCGTCTGTAAAAACTTGCAATTGTGGTCACAGTGGTGCCTGTGCTAACCTTCCTATGGTGTAGAAATATACCTAGTTGGACGAATCTTATTGTGGCTGGCTGGTCCAGTGGCTAATGCGACGGTCTGGAGTTTTGAGACTCTCTGACCGCGGGTTCAAATCCCGCCCGTGGTATGGTTCATTTTCCCCAGTTTGCATAACTGTTTTGATAAAGGGAATATTTTTTCTGTAAGAACTGATATCTACAGTCAACATGCTAGCTTCAGTTTTATAGTAAATACATTAGTTCTTTTACATTAATATAGTTTACAGTTTTATACAGTAATAAAATTGATGGTAAATACAATTTTCCTATTAATAGGGTTGATTTAAACAAATGGTAAGGATCACAGCACAATACTCTTATATAAAATTACATTGAAGAAATGTTATCCTGAGACCAACTGCAGAAAACTGAATAGTATTGGTAAATATCAGCATTTATGATATTAATTATATTTATATAGTAAAGAAACAGCAAATATACATTATCAAAATAACTGAATCAATTTTTTTATACACACATGTATAGATTTCACATTAATTATACACGTCACAAACTTACTCCACAGTACTCAGCCTCATTGAAAATCTGCGGTGTCATGGGAACCCTGTTGTTTCCTTTTGGCTTTGCATTCTCGTTCATGTAATCTTTTGCATCTTCTTGACCAGGGTCGGTGATATCTATGGCGATGAATGGGATGTTCTTACTTTCAAGGATCATAACAGCGCGCTGTTGGTTTTTTTCAACCTGAAATGATAAAAAGAAGTTTAAATTCTAACCTTTGAATGTAATCTACACTTTTATTTTTTGGTTTTAGGTCAAATGATTGTTGTACCAGAATTATTAAATCTAAAATATAACTAGTTACTATGAAGTATATTACCCTATAATCAACAGAATAGGTAGGAGTTAAATTGAGTGTACAGTACCTATCTCAACCTAAATCATGAAGAAAATTATAGTACAGTACTGTAATTGTACCGAGATGGCTATGCAGACCTTGGACCACTGGTAGCAACAGCCTGATTTACAAGGCACTCAACGAGGAAATCTGTCCTTAAGGCAGGCTGGAAGGATAACCCTTGAACCTGGTCAAGGATAACATAAGAAAGGAGGAACACTGCAGGAGGCCTGTTGGCCCATACTACGCAGGTCCTTCACAGATCCATCCCACTAATAGAATATTTGCCCTCATAAGAACTAAGGAACAGTGCAACAGGTTCACTGGTCCATGCGAGGCAGCTCCAATTCTCCCCACTGGCTTAAGCCAATGCCTTGACCTAGCGAGGTCAGACACATTACTGCGTCCGACCTAGTAGCTAGTCAGGTCCATTTCACACCCACCCACACCCACTCATAAGAACATAAGAACGCAAGAAAGAAGGAACACCGCAGCAGGCCTACTGACCCACGTAAAGCAGGTCCATGTGTCCCCCCCCCCCCCCCCGGATTAGCCCAATGACCCACTTAGTCAGGTCACTTCCACTTAAGGAAGGAGCACAGAATCAGACCTAGTAGCACATAACCCTTAAACCTAGTCAAGGGTTATCCTTGTTGTTCTGGCTGATTTTTGGAGTTGTTGCAACAACAAAACTTACATTCTGTTAAATTGATCTATACTTTATAAGTCAAGAGGCTGCTTAAAAAAAAAAAAGTACACCCTATACATAGAAGAGAGGCTGACCAGAGGGGTAACTATAGGGGGGGAGTGAAGGACTGAAGATGGGAGGGATGGGGTTTAGGAAATGGGGGAGGGGGTAGAAGTGCTGAAGAGTTAAAGTTACAATAGGTGGGGTGCCAAGTGATGCTGTCCTCCCCAATCCCACAGCTACCTAGTGATGGCACCAGCTGGTGAATCCTTTGTATCATTTCAAGTTGTTTGAAGTTAGCCTTCATTAATATTGCATCTCATGATATATGAAACTACCCGACACTGGACTGTCATATGGCGACCCACTCAGTGATGTCATTACCCCTATGGTAAGCACATAATGTAGCATCCGCTTGCATGCACTGCCTTAGATAATAAGGTCTACTAACATAGCTAAAACTAAGGTAGCCAGTGGCATGCCTCAGTGATCGTTGGCTCACCAGTGGGACCTACTTGTCTGTGTAGCCATAGTATTAAGGCGGAAAGATGTTAACCTAATTAACAACTCAATGTGGAACTTAAAATTGTCTTGAGTACCTTGGGAGATTATCATCCCCCATATGGCTTGCTTTCTGACCTGACATCCTGGTTAACTACCTGATCAATAAAGCAGTTCACAACACATCGGTAATACTGACAAGTATGTGAATGAGGCTCTGTATGGTATACAATACCGGCAAGATGAAGAATTAGACACGTGCAGGATCTGGGTATCTTTATTGTAGATGTTTTGCCATCCAGGGGCTTTATCAATACAAATTCAAGGACATAATTGGAAGGTAGTAGAACTATATACCAACAGTAACAGCCTGGTTGATCAGGCTGATCCACCAGGAGGCCTGGTCACAGACCAGGCCACGAGGGAGTTGACCCCCGGAACTCTCTCCAGGTAAACTCCAGGTAATCAGTCCCTCAGCCTTGGAGTTGGTGTGAAGAGCACCGTAGTCATGAAGATTCTGGAATCTTCATGACTAGGGTGCTCTTCACACCAACTCCAAGGCTGAGGGACTGATTACCTCATCTTTTGTATATAATGTAGTTCTGTCTTCAAATTATGTCCTAGAATCTTATTGAAATTCACTGGATGGCGAAAAGTCCACAAGAAAGATACCCAGATGTTGCACATGTGTCTCAGTTTTCATTTTGTCGGTATTGTATACCATCCTTGTACAAAGATGAAGTAATCAGTCCCTCAGGTTGAGGGACTGATTACTTCAAACTCCTCTCCTTACCCCTTTCTGCTTTGTATTGGACTGAAAAAGCCACTATGTGGCAAAACGTTACCTTAATAAAGAGTCCCATATGTTGCATAAGTGTCTCAATCTTCAACTTGTCAGTTTTCAAAACCATTTCACATTGTATACCCTACCTGGAGTCTACCCGGAGAGCATTCCGGGAATCAACGCCCCCCCGCCCTGATCCACGACCAGGCCTCCGGGTGGATCAGGGCCTAATCAACCAGGCTGTTACTGCTGGCCACACGTAGTCCAATGTACGAAGCACACCCCGACTGATCCGGCACCGACTTTAAAAAGAAAAAAAAAAAGGGAGGGGTCTTAGGAAGCCAAGATCAGTGTTGTACCTATGTTTGCACATTTGACCATATCTATCTTATACAGTAAATAACTATTGCATTACTCCAATAGTACAAAGAAAATGTGAGGATGCATAAGTAAAATTGAATTACTCATAAAGGTACATGCTGTATAATCCTCCGGGTTTAGCGCTTCCCCCTTGATTATAATAATAATAATAATCATAAAGGTACACAAAATTATTTATGAAACATTATACTAACCATTATTGTTTGTAGTCTTATTAATAGATGGATCCTGTGTGGCAGTCACTGCAATAGCACTGTGATTATCTTCTAGAGTTTCCTTGATGTCTCTCTTGCAATGAACTTGATTGTCTATTTCTTTTCTGGTATTTGAAGGAGGACCACTATGAGCAGCTTGAATGGCCTTTTCAATCTGTGCGTTACAATGTTTGACTATGAGCAGATGATGATCTTGGAGGGTTTAAAATAGTTTGGTTCAATGTACACCTACCATCCGACTTACAACCTGCTCGACTTACGACCACTCGACTTACGACTATTTTTTATGCCAAATTTCTGGGAAATAAACAACTATTTGTGTTGTACACAGTGTTTAGCCTAAACCTTACAGTATAAAATGCAGTACTAACAACATAAAAAGTAAAGTAAAACATGAAATACCAAAATAAAACAATAAAATAAAGTCATTACAAAAATGTTTTGTTGATATTCAGTAGTAAAGTTCGACTTACGACCATTTCGACTTACGACCGGTTTCTCGGAACCGAACTCGGTCGTAAGTCGGATGGTAGGTGTATTTGTCAGTGGGTTCTCTTTAGATGGGCAAACTTGTGATGGAACTTCACTTTCAGTTGCTTCCAGTAAAGAAGATTCCTCTGGAATTGAAGTCATGCTTAGCAGGTTGATTGTGCTATTTTTCACAGCAAGTGTGTTAGACAGAAGCCTTGGTACTTTAAAAATGCCACTGTTTATATTTTCACTCATGTGCTGCACAGGCACTGTCACTGCTGTGTGTTTCCCTTGATGTGATATGGAGTGAGTATTGATGAATGTACTGGAGATGATGTTTTGGAAGTTGGGTTGTTCAAATGTTGTCTGATCCTGAGTTCCATTAATACTGCTGTTTTTCAGAGTAAGTAAATCCAACCTGGGTATATCCCTCTGTCCTCTTGGGTTGTAGGGTAACCAATCTGCAAAGTATTATACACAAATATTAGTAATAATGGTAGAATTAAAGACAAATTGTTGGGTAAATGGACACAAATGCAAGTAATGTGACATTTTATTGTGGCAACGTTTTTCTCTCCAGGAGCTTTGTCAAGCTGTTACACACCTTGTGAATCCTTGTGATGTTTTTAACGGCTTGACAAAGCTCATGGAGAGCGAAACATTGCCACAAACTAACACATTAGTTGCATGTGTCCATTTACCTACCCACATACAAAACATCTTGAGAAACATTGATCTCCCTCATTCACTACATTGTTTCCTATTTGCATTTGTATTTGATGAAAGTTTTTCTTTCTCGGGCCACCCTGCCTTGGTGGGAAATGGCCGATGTGTTAATAAATAAAAAAAAATGCATTTGCAGGTTCTGAGTTCCAGGTACTCAGCTGCAACCCCAATGGAAATAAGTCACTCTGTCTGACTTTTTTGGGTTATCCTAGGTTCTCTACACATATGCTGCTATGTATGATAATTCTATATAACTGTATTTGTGTATATCTGAATAAACTTACTTACATGCTTACTTACTTATTCTTAACCTTTATTTATTCTTGCATTTTTATCATACCTAATGCTGAAACCATTTACAGTATGGAGTCTACTTCCATTATTTTACTCTCATTAGGTTTGTATACCTGGAGAGAGTTCCGGGGGTTAACGTCCCAGCGGCCCGGTCTGTGACTGGGCCTCATGGTGGATCAGGGCTTGATCAACCAAGCTGTTACTGCTGGCCACACATAATCCAACATACAAACAACAGCCCAACTGGTCAGCTACTGATTTTAGGTGCCTGTCCAGTGCTTGTATTACATAGAAACATGTCAATACCTATGGGTATATCCCATTTCATCCCTGGTAGACAAAACATCTCAATAAAATGCTATAAACTGCATACTGTTTTACTAACATACCATTAGTCTTATCTGAGCAATTGGAGTCCACCCAAATCTTAACATTCTGGTCGCTACCATGATGACACCTGGCTGTGACCTCGGCATTACAGGCAAGCACTGCTTTACAGTGCTTTGCTTTATGGAGTATCACTAATACAGCATTTTTTAATTATACCCATTCTTCATTTATTCAGACTTACTACAAAAAAAATATATTCATCACTCACTGTAAGCTAAGGAGAAAAATATTTGAAAGTAATGTATGTACTGCATGTGCATTTTTTAGGCCTAACTCTAATGCTCACTTAATAAATGACAGTGTAAACATGTTATAAGGCTTTTATATGTCTATGATTCACTTTACAGTGATTTCTGCTTTACAGCAGTAGCCCGGAACCTAACCTGCTGTACAAGCAGTACCCGCTTGTACTCATGAGAATCTGGTACATCATGACAATAACTTTTATGATTGTATTGTCCTCTCTAGTGTTGCTAGGTACAATTACACAAAGCTTAAATGCAGTATCTGTCATATAGTATACTGTATACTTTTTAATTATTAACCAGGGGAGCTCACCTGACTCAAGTGTGGAAATCTCAGATGAAAAATTCTTGTTATTTGCTTCCTCTTGTAACTCATGAACCTGTTTTTTTTCTTTTTCACTTTTTGAGGATACGTGCTCCTGTACCACTGGGTGATGAATATCTTTTTCGTTCAAATTTGAACCTGCTTTATGGGATTGTGCTCTGACTTTTTGAAAGGGCACTGATGGAAGAAGCTTTCAATTTACCTCTATGTCTAACACGTCCATGACTATTAGTAATCTGTGCAGATTTGCTTATCCTACTTACTGTACTTTTTTTTTTGCTACTTTGTGATGGTGCACTGCTCACTTCATGGCAGTATTTTGTGGACATTTCATCATAAATGGAGTACCTGGTTAGATCAATCAGCTTATAAATACATAATCTTGTCACTTATTACATCCTCTGGTTTTTCAAAATTCCAATATTCAACTGGTCTGATGGTTCGTCAGCCAGACGGCACCTCCTCCTAATTTCCAAACTATGGATTCTCTGCATTATATTCACACCACACACTGCCCTCAGACATGACATCTCCACTGCCTCCAGCCTTCTCCTTGTTGCAACATTCACCACCCATGCTTCACACCCATATAAGAGCATTGGTATAACTATACTCTCATACATTCCCCTCTTTGCTTTCATGAATAAAGTTACAGTGTGCAACTCTCAAAATCACTTAATTTTTTTTTTTTACATAACCACTCCCTGCTTAATGCTCAGGCACTCACCACAACCCTCTCACATTACACACTCAGGCACTCACCACAACCCTCTCACATTACACACTCAGGCACTCACCACAACCCTCTCACATTACACACTCAGGCACTCACCACAACCCTCTCACACACCACACACACTCAAGCACTTACCACAACCCTCTCACACTACACTCAGGCACTCACCACAACCCTCTCACACTACACACTCACTCACCACAACCCTCTCACACCACACACTCACCACAACCATCTCACACTACACACTCACTCACCACAACCCTCTCACACCACACACTCACTCACCACAACCCTCTCACCACATGTCAAGTGATGTGTCTAATATAACTGGACAAACTGACAGAATTTAAGAGGGGTCAAGAGAATGAAAGGTTATGGGAGATGGGAAGAAAGAATGGATGAAGGAAAGAGAAAATGGGAGAAGGGAAAAGAGAGGGAGGGATACAAAAAAATGGGGTGTGAAGTACTGTACATTCTTTTTTCTTTCATTATTAAAAAGATAAATTAGATATGGAGTAATGTTGAGAATGCACTTCCAATGATATTGTGTCTACAGGGAAACAGGAACAGTTCCCAACACTAGCCATGAATAAATAGTCACAGTACTGTGGCTGCAACAATAAACAATACACTGAGGTACTAGTTATGAATGATTATCAGACGTCTCAATTGTTAGCTAAAACCCTCGGTATTCATTCCCCAGTGATGAACAAAATATTTACAATTTCAAATTTAAAGTACACCGACAGGTGTAAATTTTTCTGTATATATAACCTGAGAGTTGCATCCCTATCTCAAGGATCAACATTTGTGGTGTTAGGAACAGGTTAACTGCATCCTTAATTACCTACATTCAGTCAATAGGCTTATATCTAACAAACTAAGTTATAAAAGTTTGGAAGTTGAATACAAAAAAATGTAGTAAGGAAAATGAATAATGATTGATGAGAGAGGTGTGTCAGAAGAACAGTATACATACTCAAGAATAATGACTGATGAGGGAGGTGTGTGAGAAGAACAGTATACATACTCAAGAATAATGACTGATGAGGGAGGTGTGTCAGAAGAACAGTATACATACTCAAGAATAATGATTGATGAGAGAGGTGTGTGAGAAGAACAGTATACATACTCAAGAATAATGACTGATGAGAGAGGTGTGTCAGAAGAACAGTATACATACTCAAGAATAATGATTGATGAGAGAGGTGTGTGAGAAGAACAGTATACATACTCAAGAATAATGACTGATGAGAGAGGTGTGTGAGAAGAACAGTATACATACTCAAGAATAATGACTGATGAGAGAGGTGTGTCAGAAGAACAGTATACATACTCAAGAATAATGATTGATGAGAGAGGTGTGTGAGAAGAACAGTATACATACTCAAGAATAATGACTGATGAGGGAGGTGTGTGAGAAGAACAGTATACATACTCAAGAATAATGACTGATGAGGGAGGTGTGTGAGAAGAACAGTATACATACTCAAGAATAATGACTGATGAGGGAGGTGTGTGAGAAGAACAGTATACATACTCAAGAATAAGCATTTAGCATGCTACTGTACTTGAGTAAACTTCACATAATTGGTCTGTTTTCCCATATATGTATAAAAGCTTAATATTTCATAGATGTATCCAAATAAACTAAATGTTTTTTACTGTAATATCATATTATTGTACAGGTGCTTGTTGTTCAATCAGCTTTTGAGGTGGAGTTTAAATATGATGAGTATTGAGAATTGGGTGGAAATAATGCCAATTGCAACACTGTGGTATCATAATGTATTATTGCTAACTGCAACACTGTCATATCATAAAGTATCTTTGTTAATTAGAACAATATTGTATCACTGTAGTGCTACCTTGTAGCCAAAATCATGGATAGATTTTTTGTACTTTTGAGAAATGTTTTCCAATAACTGTAATTATTGTTGTTATTATTACTACAGTATTATTATAACCATATTAATATTTTTTTATATTCTTAAAATTATTAGAGTAAATGCTTAATTTAATGGACTAATACAGGGAGCAAGTGGCTGGTAATGCAAATAGTGTAGTTTGAGAGATGATTCTTTGTTGCCATGATTGTAACAATAACACACAATTCTGTAACCAACGGATTGTTAGTAGTTTCCATATCAAATGAGCGGATTTTGTCCTGTATTTCTAAAGTCTTGTAAACCGAGGATTTACGGTATGCTTGAAAATTACTCTGAATATTTTTATACTACATCAAATATTTCTTGAAATGAGAGAAAACTATTAGAATGATTTTTTCTTAAAATAAAAAGCAACCTGTATTTTGGTAACCAGCTGAGAGGATCAAGTACAGCTAGATGGAATGTAGATATTTTTCTGTGTAGTCTTGTGAATTACATGGGAGATAATGTCTGTAATATTGTGATAGTATAGTCAACACCGGGGGCTAAAAAAGGGGGGAGAATAAGGCAGTTCTTAACAGTGTAAATTTCCTTTAATGGTGAAGGTATGTATCGGGGCCCAAAGTGGCTTCACTGGACCATATGACTCTCTCTTCTCTCCTACATTGGCAGTCTTCATAATTTTTTGTACTTGAGTAACTTACATTAAAATTTTTAAATAAGAATTTTTTTATTGCATCAAAGCAATTTTTCCAAATCAAAAAATTTTAAAAATGGTAGAAAACCCAGTCTTAAACCCAGTGCATCAGTTGCCGTTGTTTAAAACAGTGTGTTGTTTGTGTAATACCTCTTAAAGGCTCTTTTTTTTGCACTGGTAAAAACTTGTTAGGCTTTGGGTGTTAAGTGTTCAAGAATTTATATTTTCTAAACTAGTAAGACAAGGGTTTCAGAAAACGTAATTGTTTTTCTTTTTGGACTCCATTAAATGCAGCACATTTTTATTTTTTTGTGTTGTGTTTGTTAGAGGACCCTTGAAAGGTTTTTGTAAAATAATTTATTCTCCCTTATATCATGGTTTTTAACTTTTTTTTGGCATTTTTAACCCCTTGATCTAGCTAATAATATAAAATTTTTCCCCTCTCCTTTATAAAAAAAAATGAAAAAAACAATAGTTATTTTTTTTTTAGTAAACACAAAATTCATTTATTTCTAAACATGCCTGTTCTTTTACCCCTCCCCTACCCCCCCCCTTTCCAAAAATACAAGTGGAATTCCCCCCACTGAGGAAAGGGGAGGGTGGGGGAAAGTCCCCCAAGTTAAATACCCTGCTCTATATCAAGCTAAACCCTCCCTTTTTCACCATTGCCTAAGTCATTCAGTGATTTTTTTCCTGTACTGTATTTCTCCAAGTATCATCTCTTTTACCATTTTTTTTTTCTCAAAATTACACATTGCAATCAAAGCTGGACTTTTTTTTTTTCAACCCCCCCCCCACCCCCACCCCGCAAATATTGCTTTGGGCTTGGTAAATTTAGCGTTGGTACCCCGTAGATCATAGATGGCCTTTTCCCCTTTAATCCTCCCTACTCCCCATCTACCCTTCCCCCCAACCTGCCTTCCATTGTTAGAATTTGTTGTTCGTCTACATTCAAAAGGGGGTTGAGGGATTTTCAGATGAATTCATGCATTAACAAGTCACAATGAAATGGAAAAAAGTTGTTCGCACATTTAAAAAAATTTTATATCTGTGAGATAGGGTATGTCTACGTTATTAGGAGAGATTGTTTTTTCCCCAAAATTTCTTCACATAAAGCATGTTAAAGAAAAATTGTACTGTAAAACATTTAAAAAATTTCTTAGCTCAATTTCCTTTAGAATTTAAATGAAATTTAAGTTTTAGGTAAAATTTTTAAACCCAAAATTGTAAAAGAATAACAGTTCCGTAAATGATTTTTGAGTTGAATAGTAACCCAAAATTTTTATATACATTACATATATTTTACGTTAGTAGCATTTTAGGACGGGGAAAACCAAATATACATGTCACTATTTTAAAACAGAGTTACCATCTTGGCTTACAAAAAAATTTGAATATGAACAAGCGGATGGATAATGAAACTTCAAAACTTAGGGAGGCCAAGCCCCCTGATGACACTCTTCAGGGCACTTGTTCTATCTAGGCTGAATATTTCGCACTCTAACAGCACCTTTCAAGGAGGTGAAATTGCGACCCAGAAAATGTAAAAGAGAACTTTCACGGCGCGCATAAAGGGGATAAAAACCTCAATTACGGAGCGCTTTAGGTTTCTAAACCTGTATTCCCTGGAACACGGAGGGAGAGATACAATTATTACACCTGGAAAATCCAGGGGATATACCCAAAATTGCACACGAAAATCACCCTCAAAAGCAAAAAACTTGGCAGACGATACCATCCCCCCAATGAAAAGTAGGGGTTCACTAGACGTTAAGAGACCATACAAAAGTGTCAGGGGGCCCCAGACTGTTCAACTGCCTCCCACACAATAAGGGGGGTTACCAACAGACCC